AGCAATGACTTTGACAGTTGTCTGGTGGTTACTGATCATGACTGTACCAAGGCTTCAGTATTCATACCCTGCAACAAGACAGTTACAGCATCCAAAACTGCTACCCTGTATCAGAATCATGTCTTCAGAAGATTTGGACTACCTGCTAAAGCTATTTCCAACGGAGGACCACAGTTTGCATCACAGATGTTCAGGGAATTATGTGCCAAATTAGGCATCAAACAGAACATTTCTAGCGCGTTTCATCCTCAAACTGATAGACAGTCAGAACATGTCAATCAAGATTTGGAATTGTATCTTTGGATCTTTTGTAATCACCAAGCAACTGATTGGACAAGTCACCTGCCACTAGCAGAATTTGCGCATAACAATAGGTATCATGATGCAATCAAAACTTCTCCCTTCCAAGTGCTCATGGGTTACCAACCTCGGCATAATATTCCCACTGTGGGAACAGCGGACACTCCAGATATCGCCTCCAGACTCACCCAGCTAGCACACCTTCGCACAGAAATCCAATCCAGTATCCGACTAGCAGAGGAAACAGTCAAGAAACGAAAAAAGGACAAGTTTGTCGAGTACATACCTGGTCAGAAGGGTATGGCTGGAAGCCACTAACCTCAAAGGACTCCACCCAAAAGCCAAACTTGGACCAAAACGCTATGGACTTTTCACCATTGATCAGAAACTGTCATCTGTCGTCCACCATTTGAAATTGCTGCCCAAATGGAAGATTCACCCTGTATTCCATGCGGGGTTACTCTACCCTTATTCAGAAACAACAATGCATGGAAGGAACTACCTCCGACCACCCCCGGAACTAATCAAGAACCAGGAGGAGTTTGAAATAGAATGTATCATTGATTTGAAGACAGTTGGCAAGCGAACACTGTACCAGGTAAGATGGAAGGGATACCTGGCCTTGGATGACTCCTGGCTGCTGAAAACTGAACTTTCACATGCCAAAGATGCTTTGGCAGACTTTCTGCAACCAAACAAAGGATGATCCCTCATAAGAGCTGTCCTCCTCTACCTCCCCAATGGCATCCACGAAACTACTCCTCGCTCTCCTGCTCACCAGCTGGTTCCTCTCCGCCCTCCTCATCCTCATCCTCGTCCTCGCCATCTTCTTCCTCAAGGAGACCTACACCATCCGACTGCAAGTTGACCGAATCCCCACTCCCATCACCACCCCCATCGCCAAACAAGCTCTTAACTGGGCAAATAACAGAGCACAAGTAATGTCCCCAATTGAACTAACCCCCACACCTTTTACTGACCTACTCAGTGGTGAACCAAGTCACCCCCCTCACTGCCGCCACCCTCATTGTCGCCGACGAGCACCCCCATCTCCTTCTCCTCGCCCTACTGGGGTGCTTCCTCACCACCCTCCTCGCCAT